ACTAATAAGATAAAGAGGTCAGCTGTATCATCAGGTGATGAACCTCGGCGGTGATTTATTGCCACAGTATCGACAAGAAACACCAAAAACATCACCACATATCATTTTGCATTATTCAACATTTAAAACGATATGGGATTGGTCCATTTTGGCTCTTACTTTCTATACTGCTTTTATTGTACCTTACAATATTGCCTTCAAGGTTATGTGATATTTATTTGTTAGGATTATTGAAAGTTTTCTACACTGCATTTCATTATTTTTTCGAATAAAATTTTACATACAATTTTATATTAAAACATTCTCAATATTAATTTTAATTGGTTAACAAAGCAAATTTCATTCGAAAAAAATTTTGTTCAAAAAAAACTGAAATTTGCTTTATTAATTAATTAAAAATCCAAACATTTCACTAATTAAAAGTATTTCATATAGACACGGGAACATCCACCCCGTGGTACCATTGATATGGTCGCTCTTATGGATTCTATCGTTGATGTGATATTTTTTGCTGATATTTTATTAAATTTTCATACAACATTTGTTGGTCCCGGTGGTGAAGTAAGTTTTGTATGAATGGCAGAAAGTTGAGGATAGATTAAATCAAGTTAATTATGCTTTTCTCACCTTATATGTTGAAAATAATCCGTTAAATTCTTTAAATGTTTAAAATATATAATGAATTAATTATAAATTATTGAACAAACTAATAAGCGCATTTTTTGACTTTTTCATTTGAAATAATTATTTGTTAGACAGATTTTTTTCACGAAATACAAAAAAGCATTAAAAAAGTAGGGTTTTTTTACGAAGTATTTAAATTACATAGTTTGGTTTAATTTTCTTTGAATTTCTTTCAAAAAGCTTCATATAACTAACTTTCTCTAAATTTAAAAATTTTAAGAATTTATAAATGATTCAACGAAATTGATGAATACATTCATTTTCATCTTCACTAATAATCAATTGCTTATTTTTCCAGGTTGTAATCGACCCGAATATAATTAGGCATAACTATTTTAAATCGTGGTTTCTCATCGATCTTCTTTCTTGTCTTCCATACGATATATTTTATATGTTTAAACATAATGATGAGGTAAATTCCTTTTTTATCTTAAATGACTCTATTTTTATTTTTTTTCACTTTTTAAATTATTAATTTTACACACTGATATCATTTTGGCTTAAAGTAAAGCTTCATTGCAAATTTGCACACTTTATTCATACTTTGAATGTTTGTTGAAGTGGATAATTTTAACTAAAATTTCTTTCATAGAGGATAGGATCGTTACTAAGTGCATTGAAAGTGGTACGTTTACTTCGACTTGGACGTGTAGCACGTAAACTTGATAATTATCTTGAATACGGAGCAGCAACGTTACTATTACTTCTATGCGCTTATGTACTTGCTGCTCATTGGTTAGCTTGCGTATGGTTTTCTATTGGTGAATATGAAGTTAAAATAAGGGTATATCTTCTTTTTGTTATTTTTCACTTTTTTTTAAAAAACAATTTATGCAAATTTATAGATAAAGCAAATTATTTATTCACTCATTTACAAATTAAATTGATGGAAATGAAAAAGTGTATTGCAAGAATGTTATCACTCTATATCTTTAGAAAATAAACATTTCTATCTTTTCAATTAGTGACGAATGAAATTTATCACGGAAGTATAAATTAATTTCATTTTTTTTTCAGTTTCTAGTGCCAACAATGCCAGAAGGATGGTTGACGAAGCTTTCAAAAGAACTGAATGCACCCTTCAATTATACCTTTAAAGATAGGCTAAGGTTGGTTGGTGGCCCTCAACGAAGTTCTGCTTATATTAGTGGTAAGATTGACTTTTATTGTTCAGATATTTCTAATAATATTATTATTTCATTACTTACCAAACAGCATATGTATGTGTATTAATTAAAAGTTTAAAATTTATTTCTTTTCTTTTTATTTGTAATTTATTAATAGACGAAGTGTAATTTTTAAATAATTAAAGATTTCAATTAAATTAGCAGTTAATAAATTTATTCATAGCACTATATTTTACAATGTCATGCTTATCAACCGTTGGATTTGGCAATATAGCATCCACAACTGATAATGAGAAAGTATTTGGCGTATGTATGATGATCGTTGCTGCACTATTATACGCTGCTATATTTGGCCATATGACTAATATTATACAACAAATGACGTCCGCTACTATAAGGTCACAAATAATTGAATTATTATATTCATCATTTTGATAATGAAATCATTTAATCTAAGATATATTGACCTTTGCTGGATAAAAAGATAAAATGTGAAAAAAGTATTGAATGAATTTCTTTTCGCATTTCCCATAATTGTTGAAAGAGGAAAGGAAATGCAATTTTAATTATCGTTAGATAATTTTCTTTCAGATATCACGATATGATAGCAAATATTCGAGAATTCATTAAATTACAGGAAGTACCAAATGAGCTTGCTGAACGAGTATTGGATTATGTAATTAGTACCTGGGCAATGACTAAGGGTATCGATACCTCAAAGGTTTTTTAATTTCTTTGGCAAAATTACTAAAAAAAGGGAGGTGAATTTTGAGGGGCACTTAAAATTTTTTAATATTTAAATACTAATTTGTAAACAATTCAATTTTTATAAAAAGCAATTGCTAAAATAAAACAAAAAAGGTGATCTAAAAGGGTGAAACTCTAAATTTTAATTATAAAATCATATATATCAATTCAGAATTTGATTCGTTTAATTTCACCTAAGGTTCTCAGCTACTGTCCACGAGATATGAAAGCAGATATTTGTGTGCACCTGAATAGAAAGGTATTTAATGAACATGCCTGTTTTCGGCTTGCTTCTGATGGTTGTCTTCGACAATTTGCTGTAAATTTTGAGGTTTCTATTTGTTTCTGAAACTTGAAAAAAATGTTTTTAATTTTATGTAAAACGAAATTTTTTGAACTTTGACACATGAATGATTGCAAATTTTTTTGCAACAAACTATTGGATTTTAATGAAATTTGCAAATGTCATGAAAGCTCTCAAAATAAATTGAGGTCACGGGGCTTCAGTGATATCAAAACAAACTCGCTCATATTTTTCAGAAAGTTTATTGCTGTAACAAATTTAGCTCACAAAAATCGAATTTTAAATTACCAATTGTTCAGTGATGCAAAATACTGTGTTTTGAATATTCATGAAACTTTAATCACTCTGATAATAAAACTGCAAATAATTTGCTGATATCGATTTTACAAAAAAAGAAAAAAGTTTTGATAGGAATATGATTGCAGAGCAATCATGCAGCTCCCGGTGATTTGATTTATCACACTGGTGAATCGGTTGATGCATTATGGTTTGTTGTTTCGGGATCACTCGAAGTGATACAGGATGATGAAGTTGTCGCCATTCTCGGCACTGATTATTTTGAAAATTACAGATTTATTTGTCTAATATTATTCTTTGTAGAGCAAATTCACAAATTCTTTTGATTATATTTATTTCTTTTTATAATATTTTGATCCTTAATTGTTGAATTTATAATTTCGAAATAGAATAATTTGCATTGCTTATTAAAATGAACAAATTCAGGAAAGGGTGATGTCTTTGGTGATGAATTTTGGAAGCAGCTTGGAACGGGTCAAAGTGCTGCTAACGTTCGTGCTCTCACCTATACAGATTTACATTCCATAAAAAAGAATAAACTTATGGAGGTAAATGACAATTTAATAAAATCTAAAAAAACAAACTAAATTTTTTCAAAAATTATTTTGCAGAAACTAACAGGACTTGTATGCTTAACATATTAGCTTTAAATTTATCAGACAGATAATAATTATTTCCATAATATAAAATTATACTCTCAAAATTCATTTTAAATAGCTTTTGCAGTTACTTCTATTAATTCAAAAAGTAACTTTTTGCAGTTACTTTTTATTAGTTCTTTTGCAGTTCAAAAAACATTTTTCACAAAATATTTTTTGATGAAAAATTAAAAAACAATTTTTAAGAAAAATTAAATGCTATTTTTAAGAGAAAACTGTTTTAGGTGCTCGATTTCTACAAAGCATTCGCAAATTCATTTGCTCGTAATATGGTGCTAACATACAATCTTACTCGTCGGGTACTTTTCTTTTGAATTTTTTCTTTTTTTTTAGATTTTGGTTCACTAATCAAGAAAACAGAGTTAACACACCAAAAAAAATCGTCAAAATTTTTAATCATTCTTGAAGCTTGCATGTTTCAGTTAAAATTTCGTAAAGTAGTTGACGTGAAAAGAGAAAAGGAATTGGATGAGAGACGTAAAAATGAAAAGTTAACGATACCAGCAGAACATCCTGTTCGGAAATTATTATTTCGGATGCGTGAAAGACATAGTATCCGAATACTTCCATCACAGGTTTTTGCTGATCTCGAACAGGCTGGTTTTTTATTTAGCAATATCAAGAGTGATTGTTTAGCCTTTCGAATTTCAATTTCAAAGAAATCACAAAAGTAAATGCTCGATATCTATTAGATTTCTTCGAGTTATTGTAGACTTAGTAGAAGTCATATTAATTGCTTTAGCAAGCCAGGAAAAGGTCATCGATAATACGTACGACTGCTACTTCAGTAGATGATGTGAATGAAGTACGTTGGAGTACTGATGTTCAACGAAATACCGATAATATTGTAAGTTTCAACATTTGACAAAATAATCTTTTTTCATCCGATTAACTTTGACTTATATATATAATTCAAAAAATAACAATCAAAATAAACCAAAAATACATTTTCTATTCTTTCTCCGAGGCAATTATCAAGCGACAAATTTTTACTATTATAAATCCAACTATAAATAGATAGATATCTGATGACTGACAAAGCTATGATAAGATGAAGTATAACAGAATTGACCTCCATTTGCAAGTATTTGTTGACCCGAATAATATATGTCATTTAAGAGGTTAAATGCACTGCCTCCTGAATTAAAGAAATGTTTTGAACGTATTGAGGAGAAATTGCACACAGTGAATTACATTTCTCATAAATTGGAAAATTTGGAAAAGCTCGTTTTTGAATTATATCATTCCATTAAAGGTATATTCTAATAATGCCTTTTCTCATTAAAAATTTTGCACCTTTTTGCATTTCTAAACAAGCGTTTTTCAAAAAAATACAAATGAGAATTCATTTCCAACTTTTATTTAGCAAAGGATGTATTGGCAATGTTCTGTGTGCACCGTTTAAATTATTTAAATTATTGCATAATTAACATTTATTAGAAATGTTTTTTTGTGATTAAATGAATCCTTCTAATCTTTGACTGTTCAATTCTTCAAAATTCACTAAATGAAATGATTGAGATTGACAAAATAATATGCAAAAAAATGTTAGAAATGATGATTCTAATGATGATAATGTGAATTTTTTGCAATGTAGGAAATAATGAAGTGAATATTAGTGGATCGAAAAAAACCGAACAACAACAACTATTAACTCAAACAACGGCAGTGAATTTGATGAATCGAAGAAGTACGGAACCATTTGTGTCAATTAATTCACCGCCACCTATCGAATCAACAACGCATTTATCCGTTTCCATCCCACCATTGCAAGATCTCAATACAGACAATGAAAATGATGAATTTCAAAGTTCAACCCAAAATTTTGCTACATTGCTGTACATTGAAGACGAAATAGCAAGTGGTAATTTAAGTCCACCTAAATTGAAACGTATCTGAGAAATCGCTATGATAAACGAAGTCAGAATTGGATCAAAATTTTGTGCGACAATTTAATGCATTTTTAATTAAATCAACATATATCAGCAGTCTTGCATAATCCGCATCAAATAAACAAAGGCTCAGGCATTCAACTTATAATGTGACAAAAAATGCAATCATTTTTTTCAAAATTCAAATCAATCAACATCAAAAATGCAATCAATATTTCGAAAAATTCAAATGATTTTTAAAATTCAGAATGTTCGGATTACGACTTAAAAAGTTTTTTGAATTAGGCTTAACTTAAAAATGATTTTTTATTCTTGTGCCTTTTTATTTTGCTTGAAACTTCAAGTACGCAAACAACTTTTACCATTTCATCCTTGAATTTTTCAAATCCAAAAACTTTCCAGAATTAAGCTGTTTCTTATTTTATTGCAAAATTTCATAATCATTTTGTAAATTTGATTTATTTACCTACCGTGAACACCTGAAACGAATGCTAATTGATTATTGATTTCTCTGCATTAATTTCATATTTTCTTCTAAGGGTATTTATACTCTTTCATGGTTGCAATTACCATTACATTTCATTTTTTATTTGATTGATGAAGTCATTTACCATCCAAAAAGTCTAAAATCAATTGTTCCTATCAGTTTTTAATTCTGAAGATATCCCAATCCTGAAATTCAAAATATAATTTAATCCCTCATTTGTCCCCTATTTGTTGCTTTCGTCTAAATAATTTAATTATTAATATCAATCATATTGGCGTATTGCTCAAAAAAAACTTAAACAATTCAACTGAAAAATTTTTTGCTAAGTTTGATTTGCCACTATTAATTTTCACTCCGTTGCAAAGCTCATTTTTTTTAATTTGATTATAATTTTTAATTTTTCTGAAATTCTTTGTGGTGTGAAAAAAATTCGAGTTAATCATTCCATAAGTACGAGTTTTTATTCCGAAAACATTTTTTTTAAAGAGATAAAAGTGACGAATGATGAAAGGGTGGAGGAAATGCACTCTGCCGGAAATTCGAAGTGAATGCAAATGTATTAAAATTATCATTTTATAAA